GCAATGAAGCTCTAATGTTCCACAGACGCATCTGGCGGAAGACGCGGTATGCCTGTGGCCGCCCCAGGCCTCGGTGGCGGCTCGCCTGGCTACTTCCCTCCCTGTGGCCGGACCTGGCAGCTAGTAGGGTGGAGCTGACCTTCCAGGGGCGCTGGGCACTGCAAACTCTGGACTGCTGCAGTAGAGGCAGTGCCCAAGGACAGTGCCACCTTCCCAGGGCCGCGCCAACCATGTTGGGGGCCAGAGTTCCTGGGACACACAGCCTCTAGAGGAAGACTGAAAATTAGAGAGGGGCCCTTCACCCAAGACCCCGAGACCCTCAGTTGCAGCCAGCCTGAGACTCCCAGGGCTGAGCTGCCCATGAGTTCAGATCTGCCCCTGGTCCCCCTGTGTGGGGCCCTTGGACTCTTCAGTGGCTCAGGCGACCTGGCTGCCCCAGGCCTAATGCCACACTGCAGGTGATTGGCATAGGGGCCTTCGACCCCCCTCATCACATTCCTGCCAAAGATCAGAGTACAGGATGGGACAGGGCACCTGCCACAGGCAGCCAGTGGCCATGCTAAGGACAGAAACAACTCATGCTCTGTCTCACGCACACACATGCACACGGGAAGAGCCCAGACCTGTGGAGCAGGTGCCCTGTGCATGGGCAGTGGCCCCAGCCAGGCTGCAGAAGGCCTCCAGCTGAGATCCAGAACGACAGTGGGCAGACTGCCCTCCCACACCCGCACCTGTGGACTGCTCCATTATCCCTGCCTTGGTCCAGTCCAGAAGGACCTGAGGAAAGGGCTGCAGACCCTCTCCTCACCTCCTGGAACCCAAAGAGCGTCAGCCCAGCCCTTCTTCGTGTTAGAGACTGGCCAGTGGCGAAGCAGGGGGGACTCAGCCCTCAACGGACAGGGGCAGTGTCCTGGGTCACACGCGGGGCCTTCTGCAGAAGCCTTGGCAGCCCTCACCACAAGAAAGCGCATCCAGAGGGGTTTGTTGAAATGGGAGCGCAGTGACACCGGCCTCGGCTGGGCCCAGGCGTGGCAGAAGGCACTGGGAGGTTGGCAAATTCGAATAGAGCCAGACCGCCAGGGTGGCTGCTGGGCTTGAGGCTGGATAGGCTCAGCCCCTTTGTTCCCTGGGTCTGGTCAGCATGGGCGGCCAAGGCTCCCATAGCAGAGTAGGGGCTGCAGGCAGCCCCACAGGCCCTGTGAGTGAGGGGCCTCTCCCTCTCCCGACCCGCTCTCCTCTGCTTCGCCCTGGGCCGCTGGGGCCCAGACCCGGCCAGGAGGCACCTCTCCCTCCTCCCTCCTCTCGCCCCCTCGATGCAGCTCACTACCCTCCGCCCTTTCAAGGTTCATAGTTTCTCTCCTGCATCTGCGCAGTCCCCTGCCTCTGGCCACATTCGGCCCTTCCTGCTGGCCAATGACCCTTTTCAGGTCGGCAGTAATGGAGAACCAAATGCGGCCACCACCCCAGTTCCCCAGCCATGGCCCCTGTGCCCCTGGCCCTCACTGGACCCACACCAGACCCCACGCCTGCCAGAGGCCTCCTCCCCTCTGCCGCAGTCAGCACGCTGAATATTTAATGTCTGATGAGCGCTTCCACCTGCTGACACAGGCAAAGTGTCAGAACAATGCCGGCAGGGACGGCCGACCGTCGCCAGGCAGCCCTGCCCGGCCTCGCCCGCCACAGCCTGTCTGCCGCCCCCCACCCCAGGCGGCCCCTGTAGGCGGACCACCCCTCAGTCTGGCGAGAGAGTTCCTGCCTGAAATACATACTTCTTTACATTCCATAGCTCAGCAGGTCCATATGGGCATATAAAGAAGTATGTTTCCCAAGCAGGCAGTCCAGCATGCACAGGGACGGCCGGGCCGCACAGAGAAGCCAGCGCAGACGCAGGGGCCCAGCCACACCACACCTCGCGCCCTCCTGACTGGCTCAGGGCCCCTTCTCCACCATGACTCGTGTCCACTGTCCTGCTGGCCTGAACCCTCTCTTGTCTGTGACTCCTCCACACATATGTGCACGCACGCATGCATGTGTGCTCACGCGCGGGAGCAAAGGGCACGAGCAGATAGTGCATGCCAGGAGTGTGAGGGACCCTGGCCCTTCCCCAGTGGGCGCCCAGGTCTGCATGGCAGAACATGGCAGAACAAGACCAGAGTTCCTGCCCTCGGGCACTGAGGGCAAGTGCCACTCATGTCCCAAAGTTCAGAGGCAGCGCCACACTCAGCTAGCGCCTCCCAGCCCCTGTGTCCCTGCCAAGGGCAGAGAGGACAGGGTAAAGTGACGGAACCCTGAGAGCAGCTCCACCCATGGGCCACCGGGAACCGGCACCCTGTGCCAAGGACCAACCGCCTTCTTCTCCCAGGACTGGACATCCCACTCCCTGAGGACCTTCAAGAAGCTCCAGGAGACCCCTGCCGTGAACCAGGGGGCTTACCTGGGCAGCCAGCAGTTCCCTGGCGGCTTCTCACTTCCAAAATGGGTGTCCCAAAGGAGAGGGTTGGCGCCTCTTTCTTTGAAGATACAGTGAGAAAGTCGGTCATGCATGGACTCCATGTCTCCAGAAAGCAGCCGGGGCTCTGAGAGGCAGCCCACTCGTGGCCGGCTCCCACAGAGCAGCCAGTGAGGGAGCATCTCCACTCTGGCCACCTCCTCCTAGGCTCGCTCCCCCCTCCCCTGTCCCCTCTATCCCCTTTATCACTCCTCAGTGGTCACTCACCTCAGTCACCTCTGTCCCTGCCATGCCGCAGGGCCCACCTGAAATGATGGTGAGCAGCCCAAGTGGGTATCCAGGGTCAGCACTGCAGCAGGGCACCCCAAAGGGCCTGCTCCCCACCTGGTCTTTGTGGCCTGCTGCCCGGCCTCCATGAACCTCAGTCAAGGCCAGTTCACAGCCAAACACAGAGGCCACCTTCCCATCCTGAAGCCCCTGGTGCTCACCAGTGCCCAATGAACCCACTGAACAGGGTTTAAGTGACTTGGCAAGTGGGAGGTAAGCTCTTCATAATATTAATCTTATCAATATTTTTCCTATTGCATTTTGAACTCTCTGTGAAGGAAGTGGAACTTCTACACCGTGTGGAGCTGGGAGTCTGAAAAGCCTGCAGAGATTGACGAGACCTCAGAGCTAGGTGCCAGTGGCAGGAAGGGCCACCACCCAGCCTGGGAGAGAAAAGAGGAGGAGGAGGAGGAAGTCCCAGCCCCCATCCCTTTGCCAAGGTGAGTCCACAGGTGAGGGTTCAGGACTTGGAGTGAGGTGCACTGCAGGTGACTTGTGGGAGAAAGCCAAGGGCGTGCTGGCTGCTGTGGACCAGGCTGGTGCCAACAGAGATTCTGCCGAGCAGAAGGGTCCAGCTGGGCCCTGGCCCTGCATGGAGCAGAGAGCAGCCCCAGGACCCAAAATGAATCCAGCTGTCCCTCACCAGCAAGACAATCCAGCACGACCCATCCAGGCCTGTCTCTGTGAAGAACAACCCAGGGGTGTCCAGACTCTCCTGCCACAGGCAGGGCCACGTCTCTGCAAAGTCTGCAATGTGCAGAGGCAGCCAAGCACATTTCTTGGGTTCCTGGGCTGTGGCAGCTGCTGCCTGGCTGGGCAGGCTGGAGCTCTTTGTGGGGAAGGGGGAGTGGGGAACTGAGAGGCACCCACAGAGGGAAAGGCCTCCTGGAGGAAGAGAGAAGCTGGTGCCCCCTTTCCATGTGGCTGCTGTTAGTTACCACCTCCATGTGGCCCAGGAGGAGAGAGGGCAGCCTGGACCTCAGCCCCAGCCCCACTGCTGTGGATGCCCCCGGCATGGCCACACTGCTGCCTGGGCCTCCCGGACAGCCTCCCTGAGGACAAGAGAAACCAGCTGTGACCTCCTGGCCCTCCCCAGAGGCTTGGCTCCCCCCACCTCCCAGACACTCAGGCAGAAAGCTAGGGGGACCCAGAGGGCAGGAAAGTCCACTGGACCCAGCAGGTGTGCATGTGAACTGCCACCATTCACAGAAGAACCACAGTCACTTCTCAAAAAGTTTCCCACTCTGATAGAAAAGGGGCATAGGCTACCGCCAAGCAGACCCCACAATGGGCAGAGCTGCTGTCCGGAGCCCAGGCCTTGTCCAAGGCCCCTCAGTGCAAACACTGCCTCCCAGAGCCCCAGCAGGAGCACCAGGGGAGACCATGCGGAAGTCACACTCCCTGGCAGGACACACAGACCCAGACCAGAGTGCTGCTCCCTCCCCAACAAGCCCCCTAGTCTCCACCCACACGTGCTCCTCGCTGCAGGGATCACCTGGCACAGGCACCCTGATTGGGCTGGCAGAGCTGCTGAAACTCGTGCTCCCACCCAGGGCAGCTTTGTGGGCCCTGCGGGGGATCCCCCTGTCCCCATCGGCACCTCCGTGGTCCTTGTTGCAAGTTCACAGGTAAGTTTAGCCACAATCCCAGATGCTGGGGCTTTGTTGCAGCCCGACAGGCTAATGGTAACCCCCAGTCCCCACGAGCCCCCTCGGCGACCCCCACCATCCTGTCCGCTGCCAAGCACGCCAAGCTTCCCGAGGTGGCTGCTTCCTTGCAAGAAGCCCGCATGGGAGAGTTCCTGCATCCAGCTGCACGCGCCCCGCCGGCCCTGCCGGCTGCTGGCTCTGCAGTTTCCCAAATGTGGAGGATGCCGCGAGCGAGAGAAAACTCCAGGCACCCGAGCCACGCGCACCGCACCCAGGGCACCCCCTTGCCGGCGGGCACACCCCCACCGCAACACCGGCAAGTTTGCAGGGTTTGCAGGGGCCGTCCCAGTGGGTGGTAGCTGCCCTGGCGGGCGAGGGGGACTCACCAGGGAGCCCAGGGCGCCCCTCGGGCTGGGCTGGTGACCGCAGCAGCGGAGGCGCGGGCGCAGGGTCGCGGCTCCCGGGAGATGCTGCGGCAGCAGCAGTGGCAGCCACCTCCTCTGGAGCCAACTGTGAATGCAGGGGTGGGGGCGGGCGGGAGCTCGAGGCGTCCGCACTTGGGGGGGGGGCAGAGAGAGAAAGAAGACACCAGGAACCGGCTCCGCACCCCTGCCCTTCCCCCAGCCCTCCTGCAGCAGCGCAGACTTAGCAGCAGGGAGATCTTGGAGAGAAGGAGGGAGAGGAGAGCAAGAGGAGAGAGGCACTGATGCAGAGTTGAGGAGAGGCAGAGCCCGCACACCTTGCGCTTCTGCAGGACGCTCCTGCACCCCCAGTCGGGCGGGCGGCACAAGGTAGAGGTCAGGGCGGAACAAAAGGGAAGACCTGCGGGTGAGCGCTCCGCACATGCACACGGCCCACACGCCGGGACTCACGCGGGCGGGGGAGGGGAGTGCCTGACCCGAGGCGGGTGCGCGTGGGGGCCCCTCGGTCAGGAGCGGCCTCACCTTGGCAGCTCTTATATACCCGGCCAAGCATCCCAAACACGCGGCCCGGCCAAGTGGCCCCCTCGGGCTGTGCTCCCTGACCATATTTAGTCAAGCAGGGGAAAAAATAGCCTGTCAGCTGGGCCGCCGCTGGCCAGGCCGCCGGGAACAGGGTGGAAGCCCCAGCGCCATTGACGGTGCCGGTCCTGGGCGCAGGCCGCTGCCCGGCCCCCCTCACAGCCCCTCCCTGAGTAGCCTCCCACCGGCTGTCTCTGCCCTGCGATCCCCCTGCTATTTTTAGCCCAGCCCAGTGCAGAGGCACCTCCTCAGCAGTGGGCAGTGGCCTCCAAGGCTGGGCCGGCCCACTCCTCGGGTGCCCTGGGAGATCCCCGCAGCCCCAGGGTGCCAGCCAAGAGGGGAGCCTCCCTCCTGCTGTGACCTCCTGAGCCGGGCTCAGGGCCCTCAGGGTCTTCTGGGCTTTGCCTCTTTGCCCAGAATTGGGGTCTGAATCGGGTGGTGACAGAGCAGACAGAGTTTCCAAAGACTCCTGAGTCAATCCCAAGTAATAAGAATTGCAGGTCACCCTGGACAGCGTGCCAGGCCACTCACCTGCCACCCACCCCAGGCCCTGCCACCAAGGTCATGTGACTGGGAGACCCCAATTTCATGGTGCTGGTTATGCTTGGGAGTCCCCCAACCTGGGTCACGCCTGAATTTCCTCAAGGGCAAGTGCAGAGCGTGGCTGGGACCCAGATTCCAGCAGCCTGGGTTGGCCTAGTGTCCCATCAAGACAGATCTTCTCATCGCTCTGGGGACCTCCCAAGACTGTGAAGTAGAGTGACTGGACCAGTCCTTGAGGGCCAGGCCTGGAGAGGGCCAAGCGTGGAGTCCCATGGGGTGGGGTGGGCAACCAGCTCCTCGGGTCCTCAACCCAGGCAGAGCATGGGCAGCAAGAGGCCTGCCCTTGTTCCAGAAGCTGCTTGAAAACCCTGCCCTGTTTCAGGGGCATTTCCTCTGTCCTGTCAGTCAGGGGCAGGACAGGGCCCAGGCTGCTCCAAGCACGCACACCAGCACCAAACGTGGGGGACATGGTGAAGAATTCGCATGCATCATGTCAGGTCCCCAGGCACAGAGGCAAGGATGTGCTCCCAGGTCACCTCTTGGGCTTACTGTCCTCTCCCTGTGAGGATGCTGCCCAGGCTGGGTCTGCAGAGGCTGGGGAGAGAGGAGATGGAAAGCCACATGGTGGCCATTATTAAGCTACTGGACACTCCTGTCCCAGCCCCTGAGGGTGAGCACATGGAGGAGGGTCCCTGAGCTGGCTGAGCTGGGGTGGGGTCCAGTGTGGCAGCAAGGCCAGCTCCAGCCCCTATGAAGGACATAGCCCAGTGTTTCACACAGGGCCCCCTCTTCCCAGCAGAAAGGCTGATGCCAGTTCCCAAAGTCCCCAGGGTCGAGGACAAAGCCAGAAACCAGGGCATCATTTACCCAGAACACCGCCATCACAGCAGCAGGCATGTACAGCACTGGGAAATTGCATGTTCCAGAAGCTTCTGTGAGGAGTCTGCCGGGCTGTGAGGCATCCCTGAGGTGGACATTCTGTCACCCCCTCCATGGGGGAGCGGGCCAGGTGGGAAGGCAGACCTGTGCTCTTGCTTCAGTCCCTGAGGGCCAAGACCACCCCCTTTACAGGGGACACTGGAGAGTGTGAGCCAGGGCCTGGGCCCCACCCTGGAACCTGCCCTGGCTGTCCCCAGGGGACACCTGCAGGGGAGTTAACACAGGAATGAATATAGGAGTTGTGAGCAATCCCCGTCTTGTTCCATAGCACACCCGTGGTGGACACCTGAGCTGCCCCACCTGGCCCTGCCATGCACCTGAGGCTGCCGGGTGTTTGAGAGGCTGGCGCAGCTGCAGCCTGAACCCCCCTATCTTAGGTGTGATGTTTGTTTCATGGCCACATGTGCTAGTGGCCCCCGTGTAGGGGTGGGAGAGGGACCACACACCGTTGAACAAACGCGTGTAGACTGGGTAGGGAGGCCTTCTAGAAGGAACTGCTGGGGGAAGCTTGGGCAGGTCCAGGGTGGTCTTACAGGCCTGGAGTGGGGCCAAGGAGCCCAGAGACGTGGAGAGTGCTGGGGCACTGGCCCCTCTTTCTGCGCCCCCAGAGCCCTGTCCTGTCCCCAGACCTGGAGTCGCCCTGCACCCAGGACCGGCTGAGTGTAGCCAGAGGGAAGCCTGGAGAGCCAGGGGAGGGAGCCCCAGCCCCAGGATGTGGAGGACAGCTACCCTCGACCTGACCGGGGGGCCCTGGAGTCTGGGTAAGTGGAAGCATGCCCTTGGTGTCCCCAGGGGGACACCTGCATCCGGGCCATAGGGCACCTCGTCCCAGGTGGGGACCTCACTGTGCAGGCAAGAGGAGGGTGGGCCCCGGCTGCTGAGCCGTGTCCAGAGGGTGGCTATAGAGCTGGGCCAGGGGAGCAGCTGCCCGTCCAGGAGCGTCCCCTTTGCTGCATGGGACTCCACAGGCAGGAGCCCCGTGTGCACCCATGCTTGGTCTTGGGCTGGGGCACCGTGCCACCTGACCCCCACCTGGGCTCGGCCTCACTCCGGTCCCCGCAGAGTGGCCTGAGTGATCCCTGTGCCCCGCTGAGGGGGTGGGGGAGAGGTCCTCAGTGGGACCCACTCCCCACACCTGCTGTCCCCCTCCTCGCAATCCCGTCCAGCCACTTTCCTCCAGCACTACTGACGGGGCCAGTCCAGCGTGTGTAGCGAGGCGTGGCCAGCCCAAGGGTCTGCAGGCCCCTCTGCTGGAAGTTCTGGTGCAGGGGAGGGACCTCTGTCACCCAGAACCTGCTCCAGTTTCCTGCCCCACAGCACCGGCTGGGGGAGGCTGCCCCTGAGGTCACCTCACCTGGTCAGCTCCGTCCTCCCTGTGTCACAGCAGGGAGGCCTCAGGCCAGCCCAGAGTCGGCTGTCTGAGCTACCTCACGGCGGCAGGGTGGGCTGGGCACTCCTGTGCGAGGAGGAGCTGAGCTGTGGGCAAGTTCCCGACAGGGCTCGGCTACGGCCACAGCGTTGTCCCAGTCCCTCAGGATAGCCCTTTGGAGTGGGAGCCCCGGACAGTGTCACTTCTACTTAGTAAATGAGTGGACGAGGGACTCCATCAATCAACTGCTGATAGATCCACTGGCCACTGGACAACTAGGTCCAGGGCAGTGCATCTCAGGGCCAGAGATTCTGGCTGGAACCTGTTCAGGTGTGTCCAGCTGTGGGGCTAGGGGTGATCCTGGGGTCCCATGGGGGGCAGGACAGGATCAGTACAGTCCCAGGCGGGGTCACCCCTACCAGGAAGGTGCTTCAAGAACCACAGTGGTAAGGGTCCCCGTCAGCAGAAGTTGTGCTGGACCCTCCCAAGGCTGCATCTGTGGGCTCCCAGCTACTGCACCTGACACCTCGGGAAGCCCATCACCCAGGAAAATGAGGCAAAGACCCCGCCACCTCAGGGCTCCGTTCAGCAAGCTCTTGGGCTGTCTCCTGTGATTTACACCTCATCAAGGGCCCGTCCTCGACCCTGGACGAGGAGCAGGATGGGTGCCAGGTCCCCTCATCAGAGAGACTGCACCTGACATTCTCTCCTGGGGACACATGAGCATTCACCTCTCAGCACAGCGTGGAGACGAAGCAGGTGATTTCTTCAACCTCAGCATTCCGTAGTTCCGGTGGCCGTGGGTGCTGGGGGCACCCCACAGGGTGGGCACCTTCCAGCTCTCCCGAGGGCCTTTGCACCTGACTACACATGTCTGCTGCCTGACCCCTTGCAGAGCCCAGTGTACATCCCACACCTCAGATGACCCCCGCTGGCGGAGCCATCGGGAAACAGCCAGGGAGCTGCTCCAGGTAAGAGCCGTGCAGCCCTGGAGAGCGGCACACACCAGCTGCCCCTGCTGGCACAGGCCACACAGGGCGGACCTGGAAAGGTGGTGGAGCTGAGGAAAAGAGCCGGACACAGTGTCACCTGGGCACACTGACCTGAGAAGCCCAGAGCAGGATGCAGTGGTGGCTGCCTGGTGCTGGGGGTGGGGCCAGGAGGGCCACTGGGCGGGAACCATGTCCTTGGGAAAACGTCAGTGCTAGAGAGCATTGGGATGGGCTGAGCATCCCTGAGCTGTGCGTTGAAGGTGGCCGATAGTGCACTGGGAATGACACCTCGACTGAAAGCAAAGCCAAGCCCAGCTCAGAGTCCAGCCCAGACCTCCCCTCTGCCCCTTCCCTGGACGCAGGGCTGCAAGGGCCCCACTGCTGCCTCCCTGGGGGCCTTCCCAGGGTCAGCCACAGAGCTGCAGAGGCTTCAAGTTCACACTCCCAGCCCATGTGCTGCCATATTCCCCATGTGGTGGACAGGACAATGCTCTGCCCCCAGGGACGCCCAGGTCCCGGCCCCAGACCCTACACCTGTGTCGCCTTCTGTGGCAAAAGGAACTCTGCTTATGGGATGGAGTGAAGCATCCTGAGTTGGGCACCATCCTGGATTATCCAGGGCTCAGCGTATTTAAGTCACTGAGGTCCTCCTCAGAGGGAGGCAGAATCCAAGAGAAGTGGAGGGTCAATGCTGCTGGCTTTGAAGATGGAGGAGAGCCTCCAGCAAGGGACCGAGTGGCTCTAGCAGCTGTACAGGCAGGACACAGACCTCCCTGGCAGCCCCAGGGATTGCCCTGCCGACACCTCACATTGGACTCCTACTCCCAGAGCAATAAGCAAATCAATTTGTGTATTTAAGCCACTAAGTGGGTGGCCATTTGCCACATCAGCCACAGGACCATCACACCCCCTGCCCACATCTGCAGACCACCTTGCAGCCTGCATCCATGTGCAGCAGAGCCGGAGCCCTGGCAGGAGCTGGGCAGAGCAGCTCAGGGTCAGAAAAGACCCCTGGGCAGGGAGGGACTGATCATCCTGATGGGGCAGATTGAAGGGCTGCTCTCAGGAGAGCTGGGCAACTAGTGGACACCCTCACCTTGCTTCCAGCAGCTGAGCCTGTGGACACGGATGCTGGAGGCACCCAGAGAGAAGGCTGGCACACAGGGGCCTGGCCTATCCAGGAGCCCCATGATCCTCCCTGCCCAGGACCTGCCAGGCTCTGCCAGCTCTGGTCAATGCCAGAAAACATCTGGGCCCTGGTCAGCTGGACATTTCTCTTCTGTCTGAGTGGTAGGTCCACAAGCCCTGAGCGCTTGAGGGACCCTAGGGTGCTCCTGAAACTGCTGCCCTGACGGCTACCTGTGTCCAGCCCGTGGAGGGCAGGCCTGGCCTGCAGGACTTCTCAGAGCCTCCATGAGGCCAGGGAGCACTGAGTCCCCACAACAGGAGTGTGGCCCAGTGCCGTTGCCCCGCATCTGCAGGCATGTGCCATCTCAGGGAGGGACCGGGGAGCTCTGAGGAGGGCCCACGGGGAAGAGCCAAGGGTGGAAAGCCTGTGGGCACAAGGCATGCCTGTCCTGCTGCTGGAGGACCCTGCTGCCCACCCCGCGGGGAGGCTGCTTGCTGCAGGCCCCACTGAGCCCGCACAGCACCGCGCACCCACACGCCTCCCTCGGGGGCAGTGGGAAGCTCTCCGGCAGCTCGTAAAGAAAGGGGTACTTCACTGCCATGGTGTCGCAGAGAGCAGTCTGTTTCCAGCGATGGCCATCCTGTCCAGAACAGAGACGGCCCGCCCAGCAGCCCATGTGGGGGCCTTTGAGGCTCCACCTGCCTGGCACCCCTGGAGCCTCCGCCTGGGCTACTCAGAAGCTTCAGGTCAGCACTGCCCTGCCCATGAACCCAGCTCCCATGGAGCATCCAGGATGGAGGCCCGGAGGGCCGGGACACAGGGAGCACCCTAGGGTAGAGACTGAGCTCTGGGGTCACCCCTGCGCTTGGAAGCCCCCACCCCAGCCCAGCTTCCCCCTCCAGCAGCATCTCCTCAGCAGGGGATGCAGACACCTGCTGGAGGAAAAGGGTCTACCAGGCCCCCGGGGCAGGGTGGGGAGGGACAGGCCACTTCCCTGCGTCCTGAGCACCCCCCAGAGGGATCTGTAGACTCTCCTGCCTTTGGGGGTCACTGGGGGAGCCTTGTTGGAGTGGGAAGGGAGCCTCTCCCACAGACACACCCACCTCATCACTGCAGGCTGCCATTGCCCTGGGGACAGTCAGGGCTGGCCCACCCCTGCCCACCAGGCCTGGCCCTGCAGAGCCAGAAAGGGGAGCTGCCAGGTCCCTCACCCACGGGGCCCTTGCGCCCTTGCAGAGAGCTTTCTGCCCGGGTGATTCCCACTCCCAGGGAGAAGGAAGCACTGGTTTAAAGAGTTGGTCCCGCAGCAGGGACAGGGTGGAGGACACAGGGACAAAAGGCTCAGGGACCAGTTCTGGCTGCACTTTAAGAATCTGCTGCAAATGTGAATTCGATCGCAGTGAAGGCTGCTGACTCCTGCAGAGGTGCAGCCGTCAGAGCCCAAGGAGTCGTCCCAGCTCCTCAGGGTCACGGTCACTACGCACTTTCCCGTCACTCTGGAGTCTGCACTCCCAGGAACGTGGAGGTGGCTCAGGGAGGGAAGGACTGGGGGCAGGCCCAGCTCAGGAGGACATACGGTACCAAGTCCCAGGGACTGCGGGTGGTCCCTCACAGTGACAGACTCCCTGCCCAGGGTCACTCACTCTGTCCCCTCCATTCTGTCTCCTCAGCCACAGTCATGCCTCTAGCTCCCAGGTGTCTCGTCTCTGTGGACTTCACACGCATCTCTCCCAGCTGCCCCCCCACAAGCAAAGCGGCTGCCAGGTAAGCCCCATCACGTCTCCCTCTGCCTGAGCCCCCAAGCTGCAGTCGCGGGGCCAGCCTGCCTGCCCTTCCCCTTCCCTGAACAGGCCCACGCCTAGCAGACCCATCTACTCCCATGAACCTCAAGTAGCCTTACGGGGTTCTGCCTCCAGGTCTGTGCACAGGCCCCGAGGCCTCCTGCCACCTCCCCGTCTCTTCCAGCAGATCCATGCCACCCTCTAGGAGGCCCACCAGGACTGCAGCCCCAGTGCCTCTGCACTCTCTCTCCAGCTGGACCCTGGCCCTGGGTGGCCAAGAAGGAGGAAAGGAAGGAGCAGCAGGAAGGACCACAGGCCCTCTCTGGGCTGAAACATAACCGGGGGCCACAGAGCAGGGGAGGCCTGAGGGGCGCTGGGGAAATCGAAGCCGACCCTGACCAGTGTGTGCAGGCCCCCTGCAGCCTCCGTCCTGGAGGAAGCCCTGAGTGCACAGCTGCCCGCCGCCTGAGCCTCTGCTGCCCTGGGTGGGAGGCTGCCCTGAGTCCGGAAGGCTCAGCCTCCTGGTGGGTTTTCTCAGGAAGCTGCTTGACAGCACAGGTCACCACCTAAGCCCTCAACTCCAGGCGAAAGTCCTTTGACCCACTCAACACAGAGCCATCCTTTCCCCTGAGACACCACCCCGGGATGTCCCCTGAGACAGGGGGTAGGGTCCCTGTGGCCCCCAGGAGGGGCATCCAGACCCACTTCAGGGAGAGGGCCATAATCAGCCCACCTCAGGGACAGAGTGTGAGCGCATGGCCAAGCAGGCAGGCCCTGGGGCCCAGGGCCACTCTCCCACTGGCCTCTGAATTTTCTCAGATCGCATCTCCCATCAGGACAGGTGGGCGGTGTCTCCGGCTGTGCTGGGAGGAGGTGAGCATTCCGTGCTCCTCTCCAGTGCTCCCACGTGCGCCAGCGGCCACCTCCAGTTCCACCTCTGTGAGCCCTGCCCCCACTGCCCCCGGGAGATGCAGCAGGGGTGTCAGAGGAGCCCTGCAGGCCAGGCATGGGTGCTGGAGAACCCTGGTGGGAGTGCCTGATCCCCCTCTCCCACACGGCGGGTCCTTTCTGGGTCCCCACCCTCCCTTCCTACCAGGATCCCCATGTCCCTCTCCCTCCCCACCAAGCAGAGCTTCCCCCGAGTCTGGGGAAGGGTTCTGGTGTTGGGGCCCAGGACACTTGCATCCCCTTCATCTTCAAACCAGTCAGCCCACACGGTTGCTCCTGAGGGGCTGGGGCCAGGCCAGGGCCTCTGTCCAGGCAGAGCTAGGGATGTCACCTGCCCATCTGTGCAGACTTGGTGAAGCTGCACGGAGAGCAGGTTTGGGACAGAGGACTCTTGCTCCAAGTGCCTGAAGGACATACCTTTGAGCCACCAGGGTCCCCCTTGCTTGGTGGAGCCCTGCCCCTCCTCCTTCCCTGGGGCTCACTGAAGCCCCCTTGGAGGGGCAGGGCTCCAAGGCAAACTGTGGGGCCCCTGGGGCTGTCCTGTCCAGGTCACCTGGGATAGACCCTGGCAGGGCCCTGCCTCCTCATCACCAGCCCCAGAAGCTTGGGGTCCCTCCAGCAGAGGCCAAGTTCTCAGCTTCTCCCTGCACTTGGCCTCGGCCTCCGCCTCCTCCCGAAGGGCCCTGGGAGGGGCGCAGGCCCTGGCTCCCTTGATCTTTAGCATGAGCTCCCCACCTGCTTGGCCTAGAGGGCTCCTGGGGTCTCCCCTCCCAGGGCCGCCCCTGGCGTGTCCTCTGGAAGCCGCAGTTGGTCTGCTTCTTGTCACTGCCCTGAGAATATTCATTCTGGGATTGTTACAAAGGTACTTAAAAAACAAGTTCACTTGGATAAGGGTCTGAACTGCTGCCAGGCACAGCTGCCGGAGGAGCCCGCGAGGATGGGGGCAGGACGCCCTTCCCAGGGCCCCCGCGGGCCCTCTCTGGGGTTTTGTTTAATTTGGGATGCGTCTCTGTTCCCTGCGTATAACATTTACAAATGTCACAGCGTGCTTGAGCTATGAGGGGTCTGAGCCCTCCCCGAGGTAGACACCACGAGGGCCCTGGGCCAAGCCCCGAGTCCTGGGCAGGGACATCCCAATGCTGTCCGTCTCTGCAGGCAGCTGCTTCTGCAGCCCGTGTGCACTCTGGGGCCTGAGCTGCCTTGTCCTGAGCTGTCATGGTGCCAGTCTTGATCTCCATCCCCAAAACCTCAATCAGCATAGGGATGTGTCCCCAGGGCCATCTGAAGATCTTGCTGTGAGGGGATGGTCACTACCCCAGAGAGGCTGTGGGAGGGCACAGCAGTGCCCAGCCATAGGTGGGGGAGCCTCAGAGTGCTGGGGAGAGGTCACAGACCCAGAAGGTGCCACGGACCCTCTGCCGGTGTCAGGCCCCAGGTTGAGCACTTCCTGCAGCACTGCATCCCACGCTCAGCAGTGCTGCCTGGCATGGGCCAAGGGAACGCCACCCTGTGCAGACGTTCCCCGTGGAGGGGTGATGAGGAGGGTTTCTACAGTGTGCAAGAAGAGGACCAGGCCTGGCTGCAGCCAGTTCCCATGTCACCACCTGGGGATCTGCTCCCCCTGGTGTGCTCTGCCTGCAGCCCAGGCACCCTGGACATCCCACTATCTCAGTCAGCTTTTCCTCACCGTGGCCAAAATACCCCTAAATAAAACAGGAGGGAAAGCTTATTTGGGGCTCACAGCTTCAGAGGCCTCAGTCCGCAGCCCTGGGCCCAGGGTGCACACCATGGGGGAGGGGCCCAACAGAGGGGAGCTGCCCCCTCCATGCAGCCAGGAAGCAGAGAGAGGGGGAAGGGGCCGCAGGGAAGAGGCGCCTTCCAGGGCAGCCCCATGACCACCTCCCACCACGCCCACCTGCAGTCTCCACCTATCAGTCCACTCCAGCCAGGTGGGCTGCTGAGGTCGCAGCCCTCAGTCCAGCTGTGTCACCTCTGAACTCCCTGCACCAGCACAGGGGCACTGGGGGCCTCCTAATATCCAAACCATGACATTGTGCCCCTGGCTCCTAAAAGCTAAAGCCCATCTCAAGAGCAGAATGCATTCAGTCAGTCCTGACAAGTCCCATGTCTTAACATTCCAGCATTACTCAGAGTCCGACTCCAGAGTCTCCTCCGAGACCCAAGGCGAACTCCCAGCATGAGCCCTGTAAAAATAAAAAACAGATTCATGTGTTCAAAATACAGTGGCACAGAGTGAGCATTTCCATTGGAAAAGAGATGGATGGGGCACAGAAAGGAGAAATGGGACCCGAATCCAGCTGGGTGCTCAGGCCCAGGAACTCTGCACTCAGTACCTCAGACACGTGGCTGTGAACTGTGCTCTCCACAGGGCTTGGCAGCCCCGCCCCCTTGGCCTTGCCAGGTGCCACCTGGGCTCCCCTCCTGCCTGGCACGTGCACAGCCAGCAGCTTTACTCAGTCAGTCCGCCCTCCCACCTCCCAGCGTCTCTTACTTCCCGAGGTCTCCACTCCAGCGTCAGCTTCACCTCCACAACCTCCGACATCTGCCTCTGGGGAGCTGCCCACAGGGACTCCAACCTTGCCACCCTTTGCCTGGCCACCCAGGTCTTCCTTTGAGACTTTGGTGGAAGCCTCCAGAATCCCTTAACCTAGCATCCTGCATCCCTGCAGAACAGGCATCACAAGGATGATACCAAGGTTTTCCACCTTGCATGAAACCTGGCCCCTCCCATCTGAATATCTGTGCAGCTCAGCACTGTGAGACAACTTCCTAGCCCCCACGCCCCGCCACCTCGTGTGAGCAGGGTGCCCCACGATCTCCTTTCAAAGTGATTTTCTCATCTGTACCCTGGAGCCTGTAGTCGGTGTGGTCTTGCAAATTCCTGAGACGCCCTCAGGCCCTCTCTCCCAGGTCCCTGTGCTCAGCCCTTAGGGTCCTTTGGGCTGAGGTCTCTCCAACAAGCACATCCTTCTTGGCCCCAACTTTACATGCATTTTTCTGGTCCAACTTCAAGTTTTTAACGTTCTTCAGTTTTTTTTTTTTTTAATTTCTACCCCCATTTTTCACAGTAAACTTGGCTAAAAACTGCCCAGAGTATCCATGCCACTGACTGAATACTGTGCTGCCTTGAAATTTTCTACAGCAAATTAATCAGTTCATCACTTTTGAATTCAGCCGCACGCACTCTCAGGACATGGGTAAAATGTAGACAAGTTCTTTGCCAGAACAGAGCAGGAGTGACCTCCAGTCCGCCCAGGGGAGTCCTCATTTCCCTGTGAAAACTCATGAGCACTGTCCACAATCCTATCAGCATTCTTGTCTTCTGAGCTGCCAGAATCTCCCCCTAAGCTCTGCTCACAACATTTGAAAGCTTTTCCAGTCTGAATTTCTAAACTTTTCAAAATTCCCCCCACAAACCAGCTCCAAAGGCTCCTGAACCCCAAGGTCAGGCTAGCCACAGCAATGACTCCACTTCGCAGTACCAACTTCTGTTTTAGTTCATCGTTCATCACTGTGACCAAAGCACCCAACAAGAACACCTTAGAGGAGGGGAAGTTTATTTGGGGCTCACATTTTCAAAGCTCTCAATCTGTGGGCCGCTGGCTCCATTGCTGGGACCCGAGGAGAGGTAGCACACCATGGTGGAAGAGTCCAGTGGAAGGAAGCTGCTCAACTCCCAGTGGGAAGGGGGAGAGAGAGAGATTGGGGAAGGAACCTCAAGAAGAAGAACACCTCCAGGTCATGACCCCAGGGACCCTGCCCTCAGTCCACCCAGTCAGTCCATTTCAATCAGGGTGAGCTGATAAAGTCACAGCTCCCACAGGCCAGTCATTTCACCTATGAGCATTCCTGCATTCGCAGGAGCTTTGGGGGACCCCTCATGCCCAAACCCTAACATCCACCAAAGGCCGCTCAGTGGACAGGCAGTCTCTGAACCTGGCTCTGCCCCAGTGAGATGCCCTTGGGTGGAGGGGACGCTGCTCGTGGTGGAGCACCATTGGAGGGGTTTCTACTGCTCAGCACGATCCCGGGCCTCCCGTGGCCTTTGCTGATGGCTGCTGCTGATCATCGGGTAGAAGTGTCCAGTGTGCTGGGTTTCACACCCTGAAACCCCCAATGGACCGTCCAGGAGGCACTGGGACTCTGCATTTATATGAGCTTGCGGGGGGGATGGCTCTGATGCTGTTGCTGGCATAATGGCCACAAAGTCACTTGGCAGATTCAAGTAGGTGCTGCTCTGGCTCGGGTAGAGCACCTGCCTAGCACGAGCAAGGCTCTGGGTTCTAGGACCAGCAGAGCAGACAAGTACAGAAACAGAAACAGAAATACAAACACCTGAGCTGGCAAGGGGGCAGGTGCTGGTTGGAGCATGGCCAGCGCACACCACTGATCCTACAAGACCACCCGCCCTGTCCTGCCGTGGCCACTCACTCCAACTCCCAGGAGGAATGTGACCCTGCCGGCAGCATCCCCACGGGAAATACAGCCCGGGGTCTTGGGCTCCGTAGTGAAGGAGCCCCCTGGCTGTGTACTTTGCCGGGAGGCGGCTGCCTGGAGGGGGGCTCTGCTCCTCAGGAGCCCAGTGCTCCAGACTCTGCCAGGCCAGTCTCAGCCAGCTCCAGTCCAGCATCTGGGGGGGGGGGAGACCGCAGTTCTCGCTCCATGATCTATCCCCACATCCTGCAGTTGGCCCATGCATCCCACTAGCTTCCCACAGCCCAGCTTGTCCCTCCTGGAGAGGGCCTGTGACATCCACTCGTGCCCTGAGCAGCAGACCTCAGCGGCAGCTTGTTCATCCAGGAGCTCTGCAAGGGGAATCCGTCTCCTGTGGGCACCCGTCCTGTCTCCACAGGTGCTTGCAGCGGACGGGCAGGTGGCGGTGGCTGGTCCTCCTTTCTCCTCCTCTCAGCACCCCTATTTACCTCTCCCCCTGGTGCCAATCAACTGAGCAAAGACTGCACTCAGTCGGAGGACTGCCAGGCTCTGGGGTCCCTGAGCACAATTCCCTCGGCTTCTCTGGGAGCCCTGCCTGCAGGAGGTAACAAAGCCCTGCCTCCCAGGTAACAAAGTGTGTTAGAGCTGGTGCATGGCCCTGCCTGCTTGCAAAGCTCCAGAGAAAGCCAGACCCGGCTTCTCCCAACCAGGAGGTATTCCCTGGATTCATCATGTGCCTGATGAGTTATTGCAATGGGATCCTCCAGGGAACTCTTGTGCAGACGGCAAACGGCAAGCCATGACAGTGATTGAGCCTCTATCTGGGGCGTGCTGCTGAGGGTTGGGGTTCCCTCCAAAACCTCCTGCCCCGAGCTTGGGCTGGGCATGTGGGACGCAGGGATGCCCTGCTGGGTCAGCTGGCTGTGGGGGTCCTCAGCCCTGAGGGTGGCAAAGCCTGGGGTGTCCCACAGAGGTGGCCCTCGGGGACGCTCCACCACCTCAGTCCAGGGGACAAGGGGCTACCTCTCAGCTTTCTTTGGAATCCCCAAACCACTGTCCCTGGGGCACTTGCCTTGTAGAGTTCCCTAGAATCACCCCGTAAACAGAAGCCTTGACCTCTTTCATGAGATGTCACAAGGGATGGACTTGGTTTAACAAGGTGACATGATGTGATCTCCCCAGGAGCCACAAGAGCTCTCCATGCAGCTCCAGGGGCTGAGAGCCACCCCGGCCACCGCGCCCGGCCACCGCCACAGAGAACAGGCATCTCTGTTTTACAGATCAAGCTCAACTATGAGACCACCACGTGAGCATGGAAGAGACGGGCCTGACCAGCACTTTGATGTGGGCCCAGTGGGCCGTGGGCTGCCCTCCGACTCGGAGGCTGAGCAGTGGCGTTCTGGGGTGATTGGCTGGGGTGCAGCTGGCTTTCCCATTCCCCAGCCCCTCCATCTCTGGCTCTCAGGCCCTCTGTCGAGAAGGAATTGGCTTGAGCAGGGGACTGAGGTGGGCAGGGGAGAGGCTCATCCCTCCTGGGTTGGGGATGTCTCTAGGGTGGCGACCAGAATCGCGGCGTGCGGCCACATATTGAGGGTGCAGCTCCATGCGGTTGCTTCCGGATGCTAGGAGGTCCAGTGAGGGGCCTCCTCTGCACCTGCCACCTCCAGAAGAGGGTCCCAGGTCCTGCAGCGTCCAGTCCCTGGAGGCCTGTTTTCCTGGTGAGACGCAGGTCTCAGAGGCAGTGGGGCCGAGAGCCGCAGCCCTGGGCTTCCTGTCACCTCCCACTGCGGCCTCTCCTGCTTCCCTCCCCCTCTGGGAACTGACAGCCTGCAGGAAGCAGTACTGGAAGCCACGGACCCCCGGGCCTTGGCCCCCACCCCAGGGTGGTACCCCAGCTCCCCCAGCTAACCGCCCTGCAGCTGGGGAGTGAGGTCATTGGCTGGCCCATGCTCAGGTCCTAGCTGGAATGGGCCATTCCTGGGGATACCTGGTGGACAAGGCTGCCCGTCAGGCCGAGGTGCATTGCAGAGGGCGGGGCCAGGCCGCAGGGTGCTTGGGCAAGACTCTGCAGCCCCCTCCTGGTGGGGCTGCTGCCCATGAGGGGCCTCGGCTGAAGCCAGGAGTGGCCACGGCCAGGGCTGCAGGCTGGCTCCCCTGGGCATTCTGCAGTCAGGGTCATGAGCTGCTTTATTGCCCAGTCAGTGAGAACCTTCTGATGATGTCATTGCAGAGGCAGTCGCATGCCAGAAATCAGACATTTCCCTCCGTCCACAGCTGACCCTTCTACCTCCATGCGGCCTCCATCTGGGGCCTCCCAGTGCTTCTGTTATCAGGAGATCTGGGACACCTCAGGCTACTGCCCAGGCCCAGGGGCTCATTTCTCATGCCCAGGGAGAGACCCAGGGCAGGGTGGCAGGTCTGGGGGCGGAAACTGAGGCACCTGGGGCAGGGAAGTCAGCACAGGCTCCAGCCCCTCAGCAGGCGGGGGGACAACCCTGGGCTGGGATCTGGGCACCCTGAGTCCCTCAGTCACCAGCTGCTCACTGGCACCACGTCCTGTGCCACACGCTGGGACAATGGGAGCCTGGAGCCAGGGTGGGGCCTGGAGCCAGGGTGGGGCCTGGAGCCAGGGGCCTGAGCATGATGTCCAGTCCCTGCTCCTCTGGGAACCGGGGCGTGGCACACAGTGCTGGCGTAGGATCAGGCGCCCGCTCAGACAGCCCTGTCCCCATCCCCACCATTGCACTGAGTGGGTGAGAGCTCCTGCAGGGCTGTCCACAGCTGGGGG